ATTTCAGAAATATTTGGGTTAAAAAAATTATATAATATAAATAACAAGTAACATAACATTAAATTTGATAAAATTAAACATATGATTTACTTATTTTTTTTATTTACTTTTAATTTTTTTATTTTATTTTATTTATTTATTTTTTTTTTTCATTTACCTAATATAAAAATGCTTTGCAATTTGTTAAATAATATTTATTAAATAGAAAATTCAAATCTCTAATTGAAAATAAAATTTTACATTTCTTTTTATTTTGTTGCCAAATTGTTAATATTTTCAATGTAGCATATTTTTAGGATTAAAGAAAAATTAACTTGTTATATTTTTCTTAACATTATTTTCTTTATTTCTATATTTATAAATCAATGATTAAATTTATGAATGTGTTTAATAATTATATTATTTATTAATTATGAACGTATATTAAGTTTAAATATTTTAATCTATTCATTTACTTATAAATTTATGTTGTTAATACTTTCTAGTAATATTATAAATTCTCATAAAAAGGAGAATAAATTTAATATTATTATATTATTTATATCCTTAACATTATTGACAAATAATATTAACATTTTTAACATTATCAAAGTTATTAATTTGATCTGAATTTTAATCGAGTGTGAATTTTGAGATGTGTAACCCAAATAGATTCAAATTGTAATTTTAGGCGTCGAAACTATAATGGGTATACATATAAGTAGTTCTTATTCCCTATTCTTTAAAAGATTCAAAGGAACTTATTGTTGCATGCATATGTAAACAAGTTTGCACACTACAAATCACTTTTTTTAAAAAAACACACGGTTCGAGCACGGTTATTTTGAGGCTTATTTCTTACGAAAAATCATCTATTGTGAAAAAAATTTGAAAGTTTAAAAAAAAAATAAAAATAAGAATTATATAGAAAACAAATAAAATATAAATTTGAAATTGAATTATTCAAAATTAATTAGAGGAAAATAATAAGAGAAAAATAAGAGATCGTAAGAAGAAAGTCTTGATGGCCGTACATGTGTTGAGTGTCGAGTAGTCGACGCATTGGGTCGCGTCAAAGTAGCACATCTGGTGACGGAAACAATGTTCCTTGTTCAATGCTTGCCTAACATCTAACTTGGTTTGCGTCTGACTGACGTTACTGACCTGGTGGCTCGTTCGTTCGCTCAGATGAAGGGGATGCCTGCTTTCCCTGGCTCCCACGACCTGCGTTTCTGTCAATTTGTTGCCGATAGGAGCAAACACTTATTGCAACCGGTGAGATTAACTTCTAACAGACCCTAGCCTGTATATCCTAGTATCCTTAGAACCAATTTTTAATTCCAATTTCCTCTTTTTTTATTTTTTTTAATTTTTTATTTTATTTTATTTTATTTTTATTTCATTTTATTCTATTTTGTATTTTATTTTATTTTATTTCGTTTTCTTTATTATTTTTTGTATATATATATATATATTGTTAATGCTCTATTTTGTAATATCCTAAACATATATATATATATATATATTATAGATATTAATAATATATTGACTTTAATATTCTTTTA